AAAAAAAAAAAAAAAAAAAAAAAAAAAAAAATTAGCTGGACGTGGTTGTGCATGCCTGTAATCTCAGCTACTCGGGAGACTGAGGCAGGAGAATCGCTTGAACCCGGGAGGTGGAGGTTGTGGTGAGCCGAGATCGTGCCATTGCACTCCAGCCTGGGCAACAAGAATGAAACTCCGTCTCAAAAAAACACACAAAAAAAACCAAAACAAAACAAAAACAAACAAAAACCCTTACCAGCATTATCTTCATTCTAAAAAACAGAAAAACTTGATGGCTCTCCTTCTTTTATAATAAATGATATTTTTGCTGATTTATTTTTAATTGTATTCAACTGCCTGAGGCTGTAAGCAGTAAGCAGTGTGATCTCCTGGTAGAAAAATAACCAAGCATTTAGGAAGCTTCCAGTTGACAGCCTCAGACCTCTCCACTTTGCTGAAGCTCTGCAACAGTATCGACTTTCCATTGTGAATTCTTTTTTTTTTTTTTGAGACAGAGTCTCCTCTGTTGCCCAGGCTGGAGTGCAGTGGCAAGATCTCGGCTCATTACAACCTCTGCCTCCCAGGTTCAAGCGATTCTCCTGCCTCAGCCTCCTGAGTAGCTGAGATTACAGGCACACGCCACCACACCTGGATAACTTTTGTATTTTTAGTAGAGACGGGGTTTCACCACATTGGCCAGGCTGGTCTTGAACTCCTGACCTTGTGATCTGTCCGCCTTGGCCTACCAAAGTGCTGGGATTACAGGCGTGAGCCACCGCGCTCAGCCGACATTTTTAATATACATACTAATGCTGGAAAACATTTTGGGAGGCAAAGAAGAACATTCAGTGGTTCACTGGTCTTAGCAATAAATATAATAAAAAAGAAAAACATGGACAGGAAGGTGGTTGAAAGGCTCTAGGCAAAATGGTCTGGGTTTATTTTTTTCTGTGATAATTTCAAATTATCCATCATTCACTGTAATAAGATACCATTTCAGTGGTGGAGTTGCATAGTCTTTTATTTTTCTAAAGATGACCATTCCATGTTTAATGTCTTCAGAGAAGATCTAAAAATCAAAGTTAACAACCCATTTGTCCCAACTCCAACTCTTCCTGGGAACAATTCCTCATTCTGTTACTCGATTTCTTCCTTTACCACCCACATAAAATATGTCTTACTGCTCACAGGATCAAAAGAAAACAAAACAAAACACTGAAACATCAGAGTTGTTTAAAACACTAGATTTCATTCAATGGTCCAATTGGACACTTGCGCATCAGAACTTATTTCTGCTTCAGCTCTAGTTCTTTGAGAAATACAATAATTATTTTCACCAAAATATTAGCCTGACACAAGAATGTTGAAAAGTTAGCTGCCTTAGCATTATTGCTCCCTATAATCTCCAAAGATCTGAACACCTAGAAGATTAAATGTAGCAAGAAGTGGAAGAGAAACACAGTTTGTTAAGTCATTTAATAACTATAATTGCATAGAATTTACTCACTTTTCAAATACTTATTCTGAATGAATACCAAGTTTGTGAAACAAAATATATCCTGTCGTGCTTAGAATGGTTGTTACATAGTGAGTTAGCTTTCCCAGTAAACTTTATATGCATTAACAGAGGGGAACGCACAATAATCCTATGACATAGGCCCTATTATCCCCATTGAATAGAAGAGAAAAGGAGGCTCAAAAAGATTAACCCACAAAAGGTCACACAGCTACGACTATCAGTGTCCTGTTGGGCACTGCCAACTAGGCCACTTTTAAAGTAAGATAATTTTATTTTATTTTTTTTGAGACGGAGTCTCGCTCTGTCGCCCAGGCTGGAGTGCAGTGGCCAGATCTCAGCTCCCTGCAAGATCCGCCTCCCGGGTTCACGCCATTCTCCTGCCTCAGCCTCCCAAGTAGCTGGGACTACAGGTGCCAGCCACCTCGCCCGGCTTTTTGTATTTTTTAGTAGAAACGGGGTTTCACCGTGTTAGCCAGGATGGTCTCTATCTCCTGACCTCGTGGTCCGCCCGTCTCAGCCTCCCAAAGTGCTGGGATTACAGGCTTGAGCCACTGCGCCTGGCCTAAAGTAAGATAATTTTAAATTGAGTGCTGTTACTTACAAAATGAACACATGTGATAATTGACAAAATATTTCACTGACACCGGACTTACAGAAAGTTTAAGGAAAACCAAGATTAAGGATTCCAGATTCAGATGTCTCTTTATCTTTTTTTTAGACAGGGGTTTCACTTTGTCACCCAGGTTGGAGTACAGTGGCGTGATCTCAGTTCACTGCAACCTCTGCCTCCCAGGTTCAGGTGATCCTCCCACCTCAGCCTCCTGAGTAGCTGGAACATCACAGGCGCATGCCATCATGTCTGGCTAATTTTTATATTTTTTTTAGAGACAGGGTTTCACCATGTTGGCCAGGCTGGTCTCAAATCCTGAGTTCAGGCGATCTGCCCACCTCTGCCTCCCAGAATTCTGGGATTACACGCGTGAGCCACTGTGCCAGGCCTTAGGTCCCTTTCAAATACATGATATTCCTAATTTTCCTGATCTACTATTGCAGGGGAGGGGAAGAATCGTCTTCCTTTTTTTTTTTTTTGAGACCGCATCTTGGTCTGTCGCCCAGACTGAAGTGCAGTGGCGCGATCTCAGCTCACCGAAACCTCTGCCTCCCAGGTTCAAGTGATTCTCCTGCCTCAGCCTCCCAAGTAGCTGAGACTACAGGAACCCGCCACTACGCCTGGCTAATTTTTGTATTTTTGTAGAGATGGAGGTTTCACTATGTTGGCCAGGCTGGTCTTGAGCTTGTGATCCGCCCACTTCGGCCTCTCAAAGTGCTGGGATTACAGGCGTGAGCCACCGTCCCCGGCTGGTGGTGAGAATCTTCTATGGCTTAAAAAACAAACGTAGGCTGGGTATGGTGGCTCAGGCCAGGCACAGTGGCTCACGCCTGTAATCATCCCAGCACTTTGGGAGGCTGAGGCAGGTGGATCACCTAAGGTCAGGAGTTTAAGACCAGCCTGACCAACATGGAGAAACCCCATTTCTACTAATACAAAATTAGCTGGGCGTGGTGGCGCATGCCTGTAATCCCAGCTACTTGGGAGGCTGAGGCAGGAGAATCGCTTGAACCTGGGAGGCAGAAGTTGTGGTGAGCTGAGATCACACCATTGCACTCCAGCCTGGGCAACAGAGTGAAACTCCATCTCAAAAAACAACAACACAACAATAGACGCAGCAATTCCATTCCTACGTATACACCCAAAAGAATTGAAAACAGGTATTCAAACAAATACTTGTACACAAATGTTCATTGGAGCATTATTCACAATAGCCAAAAGAAGGAAACAACCCAAATCATCAACAGATACTGGATAAACAAAATATGATATCCATACAACGGAATATAATTTAGCCATAAAAAGGAATAAAGTACTGATACATGCTATAATGTTGATTAACCTTGAAAATATGATGTCTGGGCGTGGTCACTCACACCTGTAATCCCAGCACTTTGGGAGGCTGAGGCGGGTGGAACACCTGAGGTCAGTTCAAGACCAGCCTGGCCAACATGGTGAAACCCTGTCTCTACTAAAAGTACAAAAATTAGCCAGGCATGGTGGTACACACCAGTAATCCCAACTACTTGGGAGGCTGAGGAAGGAGAATCTCTTGAACCTGGGAGGCAGAGGTTGAGATTGCACCATTGCACTCCAGCCTGGACAATAAGAGTGAAACTCTGTCTCAAAAAAACAAACCAAAAAAAAAAAAAAGAGAGAAGAAAATATTATGCTAAGTGAAAGAAGCCAGATACATAAAAAGGTCATGTATCATATGCTTCCATTTATATAAAATATCCAGAATAGGTAAATCCATAGAGACAGGGGGCAGATTAGTGGCTATTGTTAGCAGTCAGAGAAGGGAATGGGGAGTAACTGCCTAATAGGTATAGGGCCTCCTTTGGGGGTGATAAGAATGTTCTGAAACTAGAGAGCAGTGATGGTTGCACACCACTGTAAATGTTCTGCCAGTGAATGGTATACTTTAAAATGGTGAATTTTATGATATATGAATTTCACCTCTTTTAAGTTCCAAATAAGGCATCATTATAGCAGAGATCCTCTAATCTGTCTGGTTGGCAAAGCACCTAGTATTTTACAGTACAGAAGAAGCTTTAAAAATGCTTTTAATTTGTATAAAGTGCAAAGAAAAAGAATTCTGAGAAGCACATGAAAGAATATAAAATGGCCAGAGCCTAAGAAATAAACTAATATACATGCATATGGACACATCTACATATTTGAGCATATGCAGAGACATGTAAATACTCAGGAGAGAAATTTGCTTTTCCTCATAACTTATTTTGTGTTTCTCCAAAACCTGAAGAGTAGATAACAGCTGACAGTTACCCGCCTCTGAGTGTGACAAGAGGTCACACACAGGGAGGGCCTCTAGCTGCCATTTCCTATTGCTTCCCTGGTGAAACAACGCAGGCGGCTGAGTCACTTTAGGAGACGCTCAACAGGGATCCCATTGTTCCAACCTCAAAATTCTGAGATACAACGGTCCCCATTCATACAGATAGCTTACAGGCTGGGGATGGTCCCTTAGTGTGCAGTCAACTTTTTATTGGGACACTGAATTTTCAAAAACACTGACCTGCACAAATAGTGTTAATTATTATTTTTTAAATGGTATAGAAATAAAATTCAACAGATACTAAACTGGGAGTCAGGACACCTGAGTCTTACCCTTAGCTCTCTGATGCAACTTTAAGCAAGTTGCGTGCTCTTTCTGGACCTCAGTTTCCTTGTTTGTAAAAACAAATGATTTCCTAAGATCACTCAGAACTCTAAAATTCTCTGAACACTTATGAAGTCTATTGAGCTTGCTTCACTGTTCACTCCAATGAGTGGGGGTAAGTTATAAGCAGAAAAATATCATTACTTCACATCTTTTCATTCACTATCAACACTTAAAAACGAACAGTCTTAATAAAAACCAAGTCCACTTTCTGTTTTCTCTCTTAAACAGACAAATCATAACAGAGTCCAGTGAGTTCCTCTGTTGCAAGAAGTTCAGGATCACTCAAGCAAGTAACCCCACACAACGCACAATGATAAAGAGCATAAACACAAGCCATAAGTATATTTTTATGTCGCTTTTTCTTAGATTATTGATGCATTTCCAAAATCTCTTCATTTCTTTGCAATAACTGAAAACCCCCAGAAGAAAGACACCATTTACAGTAAGAATGTGATCAATGTTATAAGCTTCTGCACCATGTCATTTTTTTGTTTTTTCAACCTCAAAACTTGCCAGAGCAAGGATTTTGTCTCCAGAGCCTAAGAAAAAAGACACATAATAAACAAAAAGATTATTTCAACTGCAGATACAATTCCTGGTAAAGTGGGGGAAAAAAAATCTATCATATAGATATTAAAACAGAAAATATAATTAGACTCCATTATCAGTGTATTAACCCCTACATGTTCCTTCCCTCTGCACAAACAATCCAGCTACAAAAGGGGACTTATTAGTTATAAATCCATATTCTAGCTGTGAAATATGTAAAATTTAGTTTATTTTTTATTTTTTGAGATGGAGTTTCACTCTTGTCACCCAGGCTGGAGTGCAGTGGTATGATCTTGGCTCACTGCAACCTCCACCTCCTAGGTTCAAGCAGTTATCCTTGCTACAGCCTCCCGAGTAGCTAGGATTACAGGTGCACGCCACCATGCCCAGCCCATTTTTGTATTTTCACCCTGCTGGCCAGGCTGGTCTCGAACTCCTGACCTCAGGTGATCCGCCCACCTCGGCCTCCCAAAGTGCTGGGATTACAGGCTTGAGCCACTATGCCTAGCTATACAATTTTATTTTAAAAAATTTTTGTGAAAAAAAAAAAGGAAAAACATTTTTCAGGGGGAGACAGGTCTTGCTCTGTCACCCAGGCTAGAGTGCAATGGCATGATCTTGGCTCACTGCAGCCTCAAACGTTTGGGCTCAAGTGATCCTACTGCCTCAGCTTCTCAAGTAGCTAGAACTCTAGGAACCCAGCTATTTTTTTTTCTTTTTATTTATTTATTTATTTTTTGGAAATGGTGTCTTGCTCTGCTGCCCAGGCTGGAGTGCAGTGGCACGATCTCAGCTCACTGTAACCTCCACCTCTCGGGTTCAAGCAATTCTCCTGCCTCAGCCTCCCAAGTAGCTGAGATTACAGGCGTGCACCACCATGCCCCGCTAATTTTTGTATTTTTAGTAGAGATGGGGTTTCACCATGTTGGTCAGACTGATCTTGAACTCCTGACCTCGTGATCCACCCACCTCGGCCTCCCAAAGTGCTGGGATTATAGGCGTGAGCCACCACACCTGGCCTTTTTTTAATTTTGAAGACAAAGGGACCTACCATGTTGCCCAGGCTGGTCTAGAACTCCTGGCCTCAAGCATATAATTTTAGTTTACTGTTATAGTTACATCTACCTGACAAGTATTTTAAAAACATTAGGCTGCATTAATTTATTTTTTAATACTGGGGAATAAAACCAATACAATGGATTTATAAAGAAAACAATTCTGGTTTCACTCTTAAACTCAAGAAAAGGTTATTATGTTATTTCAACCGCACTCTCCAACTGTATATATGTGACAGTAGTATATGACCAGCTTTCAGAAATATGAGGGCACTCACCAAGGTCTGTAGAGACTTTCTCAAACTGGCTGAGTATAGCACCTGCATTTGCTGACAAGAAGGCCTCATCATCTGCAGTCAGCTAAACAAAATGAAACAAAGTCCAGTTGAGTGGGTAAACGTTACAGGTGGTTCTAGAAACCAGGTAAGAATGTCTTAGGAGGCTGGGCACAGGGGCTCATGCCTGTAATCCCTGCACTTTGGGAGGCAGAGGTGGGTGGACCACCTGAGGTCAGGAGTTCGAGATTAGCCTGGCTAACATGATGAAAACCCGTTTCTATTAAAAATACAAAAAATTAGCCAGGCATGGTGGCGCGTGCCTGTAATCCCAGCTACTCAGGAGGCTGAGGCAGTAGAATCACTTGAACCTGCGAGGCAGAGGCTGCAGTGAGCAGAGATTGAGCCACTGCACTCCAGCCTGGGCAACAAGAGCAAAACTCCGTCTCAAAAAAAAAAAAAAGTTGAGTGGGGGCTGGGTGCAGTGGCTCACACCTGCAGTCCCAGAACTTTGGGAGGCCGATGTAATCCCAGCATTTTGGGAGGCCGAGGCAGGTGGATCACCTGAGGTCAGGAGTTCAAGACCAGCCTGGCCAACATGGTGAAACGCTGTCTCTACTAAAAATACAAAAATTAGCCGGGTTTGATGGCAGGCACCTGTAATACAAGCTACTCAGGAGGCTGAGGCAGGAGAATTGCTTGAACCCGGGAGGTGGAGGTTGCAGTGAGCTGAGATTGTGCCACTGCACTCCAGCCTGGGCAACAAGAGCGAAACTCTTGTCTCAGAGAGTAGGAAAAAAAAAAAAAGAATGTCTTAGGACCACAAACTAGACCACAGATCAAGATGTTCTGTACCAAATACTTCATACTTTTTCTTTATACCTAATATATTAAATACTGGTACCTTCTCTCCAAGTTTCCTGAGAGCTGTTAGTATCTCCACTTTCTGTTGAGTGTACAGGTCTCTTTCCAGCTTTCCTACCATCAGATCTCTATCCATCTAAAACATATGAATGCAAGGCATATGTTACTTAAGTGAAAAACATTCCGTATACAATATATAGCTTTTCAGGCTGGGCGCCGTGGCTTACGCCTATAATCCCAGCACTTTGGGAGGCTGAGGCAGGCGGATCACGAGGTCAGGAGACTGAGACCATCCTGGCTAACACAGTGAAACCCCGTCTCTACTAAAAATACAAAAAAAATTAGCTGGGCATGGTGGCGGGCACCTGTAGTCCCAGGTACTGGGGAGGCTAAGGCAGCAGGAGAATGGTGTGAACTTAGGAGGCGGAGCTTGCAGTTAGCTGAGATCCCACCACTGCACTCTAGCCTGGGTGACAGAGCAAGACTCCACCTCAAGAAAAAATAAATAAATAAAATATATGTGTGTGTATATATATATAGAGAGAGAGAGAGCGCGCGCGCGCGAGAAAGCTTTTCAGACGTACTTCTTAAAAAAAAAAAAAATTCGGCCGGGTGTGGTGGCTCAAGCCTGTAATCCCAGCACTTTGGGAGGCCGAGACGGGCGGATCACGAGGTCAGGAGATCGAGACCATGCTGGCTAACACAGTGAAACCCCGTCTCTACTAAAAAATGCAAAAAACTAGCTGGGCGAGGTGGCGGGCGCCTGTAGTCCCAGCTACTCGGGAGGCCGAGGCAGGAAAATGGCGTAAACCCGGGAGGCGGAGTTTGCAGTGAGCTGAGATCGTGCCATTGCACTCCAGCCTGGGCGGCAGAGCGAGACTCCGTCTCAAAAAAAAAAAAAAAAAAAGAAAAATACAAAAATTAGTGGGGGTGGTGGTGTGTGCCTATGGTCCCAGCTACATGAGGGGCTGTGATGGGAGACACTTGAGCCCAGGAGACAGAGGCTGCAGTGAGCCAAGACTGCACTACTAAACTGAGCCTGGGTGACAAAGTAAGACCCTGCCTTAAAAAAAAAGAAAAAAAAAAAAAGGCCTTAAACACACACACACACACACACACACACACAAAAGACTAGGCACAGTGGCTCACATCTATAATTCCAACACTTTGAGAGGCTGAGGCGGGCAGATCACTTGAGGTCAGGAGTTCAAGACCAGCCTGGACAACATGTGAAACCCCATTTCTACTAAAAATACAAAAATTAGCTGGGCATGGTGGCACACGCCTGTAATCCCAGCTACTTGGGAGGTTGAGGCAGGAGACTCACTTGAACCTAGAGGCAGCGGTTGTACTGAACCGAGATTGCGCCACTGCACTCCAGCCTGGGCAATAGAACAAGACCCCATCTCAAGAAAAAACAACAACAACAAAAAAAACCATAAAAAACTTGTCACATACCTCAATAGTGAAGCAGGGATTCAAATCCAGCCAGTCTGACCAAAATCCATGCTCTGAATCACTATGCTACTGAATTGCCCATAGTTACAAAAAACCTGGTAACTTTTTTTTTTTTTTGAGATGGAATCTCTCTGTCGCCCAGGCTGGAGTGCAGTGGCGCAATCTCAGCTCACTGCAAGCTCCGCCTCCTCCCGGGTTCATGCCATTCTCCTGCCTCAGCCTCCCGAGTAGCTGGGACTACAGGCACCCGCCACCACGCCCGGCTAATTTTTTGTATTTTTAGTAGAGACGGGGTTTCACCATGTTAGCCAGGATGGTCTCGATCTCCTGACCTCGTGATCCGCCCGTCTCGGCCTCCCAAAGTGCTGGGATTATAGGCGTGAGCCACCGTGCCCGGCCACTTGGTAACTCTTAATTACATCCAAGCCTATAAAGAGACTTCTGGAAGTATCAGATTTACAAATATACTTGAAATTCTTAGATGAGATAGGCCACACATGCATAAAAGCAATGCTGCTAATTAATTCTCAACGTGATTTTAAGTTAGAGCTCCAGAAGTAAATGGTAAAACATTAAAGGTGGAGTCAAGGTAGAAGTGGTCAGTGGCAATTTAAACTGCCATATATTGTTTAAAGCTCTACACTCATTATCAACTGTAATTGCTCAAAGTACTAATTTTGTCAGAAAATTGTTAGTTGTGGCTCTAAAATCACCTGGCCAATTTTTAAGCCATAGGGTATCATAATGAATTGGCTTAGGAAATGAAAAACACACAGCAACCAAATCAATTTAAAGAAATTTTACCTCTGCTAACCTTGTCCGAAGCTGACCTGGTTGTTTCTTTGCAAACAATCTGATGACCTCTGGGGTTTTAAAGGCCTGGCTGATAGCTGCCTGAATAGCCTAGAAACAGAAGAAGGCAAAAACTAACCAAAACAGTCCAACAAATCAGATATTGCAATAACTAATTGATGGATCTTTAATCTTTATCAAGGTTTACTGGTTCCTGTCATAGAAGCAATTACATAACTAAATGAAGATCTGGAAGGATATGCTGTTTATGCATAAGCAGACACTCATCTACAAGTTACACACCTTGGGAGGCCAAGGCAGGAGGATTGCTTGAGCCCATGAGTTTGAGACCAGCCTTGGAAATGCAGCAAGACCCCATCTCTAAAAAAAAATTAAAGGCTGGGTGCAGTGGCACACACTCGTAATCCCAGCACTTTGGGAGCCCAGGACAGACGGATCACCTGAGGTTGGGAGTTCAAGACCAGCCTGACCAACATGGAGAAACTCCATCTCCACTAAAAATACAAAATCAGCTAGGCGTGGTGGCACATGCCTATAATCCCAGCTACTCAGGAGGCTGAGGAAGGAGAATCACTTGAACCAGGGAGGTGGAGGTTGTGGTGAGCCGAGATTGCACCATTGCACTCCAGCCTGGGGAACAAGAGTGAGACTCCATCTCAAAAAAAAAAAAAAAAAAAAAAAAAATAGCCAGGTGTGGTTGTGCATGCCTGTGGTCCCAGCTACCTGGGAGTCTGAGGGGTGAATAGCACTCCTGCACTCCAGCCTGGGTGACCCTGTCTCTAAAAAAAAAAAAAAAAAGAAGTTATACCTAGAACATGCAAAACATAAAACATGGTATATTTTCTATCAGAAATATATTTACTTTAATTATTACTATTATTTTTTATTTAGAGATAGGGGTCTCACTATGTTGCCCAGGCTGGTCCTGAACTCCTGGGCTCAAAGCAGTCCTTTTGCATCATGCCTCAGCCTCTGGAGTACCTGGGATTATAAGCAGGCACCACCACACCCAACCTGAAATATATTTATAAAAAAGCTGGGTATGGTAGTTCATGCCCATAATCTTTGGGAGGCTGAGGCAGGAGGATCACTTGAGCCCTGAAGGATAAGGCTGTAGTGAGCCATGATGGTGTCACTGCACTCCAGCCTGGGTGACACAGAGAGACCCTCTCTCAAAAAAAAAAAAGAACCAGTAGGGCATGGTGGCTCATGCCTGTAATCCTAGCACTTTGGGAGGCCGAGGTAGGAGGATCACTTGAGGTCAGGAGTTCAAAAATCAGCCTGGCCAACATGGTGAAACCCCGTTTCTACTAAAAATACAAAAATTAGCTGGGTGTGGAGGCGGGTGCCTATAATCCCAGCTACTCTGGAGGCTGAGTGAGGAGAATCGCTTGAACCTGGGAGGTGGACGCTGCAGTGAGCTGAGACTGCCCCACTGTACTCCAGCCTGGGCGACAGAGAAAGAATGCATTTCCAACAAAAACAAAAACCAGAAAACAAAGTCCGTCCTCTGTCACCTATACGTTATACTTACCAGCTGCATTCCACTTAGTTCATCTACCAAGGTCATATTTCCAGACATAATTTTCTTCAGTGAATCATTAAATTCACTTAGTTGCTCCAGAGTTTCCTTTTTGGTTTCTTCATATTCATCTGTATCCAGTTCCTCTCTGAAGTAGGTGAATATCATGATATGGAAAAATACAGAGTTCCAAGTGAAAAATGCAATCTTAGTACTTGTACATTAGAGAAAGGCTGAAGGGAAATATCAAAATGCTAATGGTGAACGTGTTCACATAGCAGTAGTATGGGCATTTTCCTGCAATACGGTGACTTTGATAAACATTTTTCTTTTACCAAAATGAAGCATACTTAAGAAGCCACATATAAGGCCAGGTGCTAGCTCACACGTGTAATCCTAGCACTTTGGAAGGCTGAGGTGGGTGGATCACCTGAGGTCAGGAGTTCGAGGCCAGCCTGGCCAACATGGTGAAACCCCACCTCTACTAAAAATACAAAAATTAGCTGGTGGGGGGTGGCGGCGCATTCCTTTAATGCCAGCTACTCGGGAGGCTGAGGCAGGATAATCGCTTGAACCAGGAGGTGGAAGTTGCAGTGATCTGAGATCTTGCCACTGCACTCCAGCCTGGGCAACACAGCAAGACTCTGTCTCAAAAAAAAAAAGGCCGCAATGAACTGTTGTGGTCCTTTGTGCAGGTAAGGCTGAAACTACATGCCAGAAATTCATGTAGTACATGAATTTGGCCTGACAGCAGGCAGGACTGATTTAAATATTAAAGACAAAGTAGGTGTTATTTCTACTTCAAGGAGGTTAAGTATTTTGCTCAAGTTCACGTGCACTGAGTAGTTAACTGAATGACTGTCATTTCCCAGCCTTTATGACTCCAAAGCCTGCAATGAGTTTACTTCTCTAACAGACACTGTGAAGAACACTAGAGGGGAAATGCAGAATCACACATGGGCCGGCATCCATGGAGCTAGCTGCAGGAAAAAAGCCAGTTTCCAGCGTAACAACATACAATTAAACTCTTACCTGCATTCCTCTAGATCTTGTAATTGCTGCATGAGTCTATCCAACTGTTCTTCTAAATTCTGCTTTAATTTGCTTGTCTCTGTCTTTCCTCTGGAAGCCATTTTAATCTCTATGTGAAACAACAAACCCACATACCATATGAAATTAACATACCAGTGCAAGCTTTTTAAGTTTTATTTTTTGTAGAGACAGAGTCTGGCTATTTTGTCTAGGCTAGTCTCAAACTCCTGGCCTGAAGTGACCCTCCTATAAGTATACGCCACCACACCCAGTCGCCAATGCAATTAAAAATAGGCAGCTGCAGCTGGGTGCTGGTGGCTCAGGCCTGTAATCCCAGCACTTTGGGAGGCCGAGGTGGGTGGATCATGAGGTCAGGAGATCGAGACCATCCTGGCTAACACGGTGAAAACCCATCTCTACTAAAAAAACAAAAAAGGCTGGATGCGGTGGCTCACGCCTGTAATCCTAGCACTTTTGGAGGCCAAGGCAGGTGGATCACCTGAGATCAGGACTTCAAGACCAGCCTGACTAACATGGTGAAACCCCATCCCTAAAGAAAAAAAAAAATTAGCTGGGCATGGTGGCATATGCCTGTAGTCCCAGCTGCTCGGGAGGCTGAGGCAGGAGAATCGTTTGAACCTGGGAGGCAGAGATTGCAGTGAGCAGAGATCATGCCACTACACTCCAGCCTGGGCGACAGAATGAGACTACATCTCAGGAAAAAAAAAAAAAAAAAGGCAGCTGGGTATAGTGGCTCATGCATGTCTGTAACCTCAGCACTTTGGGAGCCTGAGGTAGGAGTAGGAGGACTGCTTGAGCTCAGGAGTTCGTGACCAGCCTGGCCAATATAGTGAGACTTCATCTCTACAAAGAATAGAAAATCTTAGCTAGGCATGGTGGCGGATGCCTTTAGTCCCAGCTCCTCAGGAGGCTTAGGTCTTAGGTGGGAGGATTGCTTGAGCCCAGGAATTTGAGGTTGCAGTAAGCCATGATCTTACCACTGTACTCTGGCCTGATTGACAGAGCGAGACCCTGACTCAAAAAAAAAGAAAAAGAAAAAAAAAAAGAAAGGTTATACTCTTTTTTAGCTACAGGTGTATGAAAGAGAGTTATACAAAGAAAATCCTACTTTAGATATAAAAGTTTAAACTCATATAGTAATAACACCCCACAAAAATGCCTGAAAATCTTCTTTATGTGATTTGACACATTAATTCGAAGTCTTCATTACTGGTCTATCTTACTCTAAACAAATTTGATAAATGGAAATACAGATATATAAAGAAGTAGATCAAATGTGGCTTTGCTTTATAAAATGAATCACCATAGCCCAAAACACTCCTGATATTATCTTATTGGTCTTATGTATATTTACCTAATTACTTGTGAGCATGAACATCCTTTTTTTATTTTTAGTTTTTTTAAGATAGGCTCTCACTCTGTCGCCCAGGCTGGAGCACAGTGGCACAATCACAGCTCACTATAGCCTCGACCTCTCGAGCTCAAGCCATCTTCCCACCTTTGCCTCCTGAGTAGCTGGAACCACAGGTACACACCACCACACCTGGCTAATTTATTTTTTTTGTGGAGATGGGGTCTCCCTATGTTGCCCAAGCTGGTCTTGAACTGGACTCAAGGGATGCGCCCACCTCAGCCTCCCGAATGCTGGGATTAGAGGTGTAGGTCCCCAAGCCCAGCTGATGAACATCTTTTAATATGAATTTCTTCTTTGGAAATGTGACCATCTTTCTGCTGGGTTATCTTTCTCTTACTGATTTATAACATGGATACGAAGCCCGTGGCTTTTTTGAGACAGGGTCTTGCTCTGTCACCCAGGCTGGAGTGCAGTGGCATGATCACGGCTCACTGCAGCTTTGACCTCCTAAGATCAAGCAATGAAACCTTTGTAATTGCAAATATTATTTCGTCTCCTGACTAAATTTTATTTATTTTTTTTGTCATGGCAAATTATTATTTTTTAATAGACAAATCTATCTTCTCCTTTAAACCTTCTTTGTTTTGTGTCCCATGAAGGCAGGCCCTAACCATCTCATGATTTCTACATCTTTATGTTCAAGACTTTTACAAATTTTTTTCTAGCTGCAGAAAAAAGCCACCTGCAATTTTTTGTTACGCTTTGAAGTAGGAGTCTAACTTTCCTTTCAAAACACCCTTTACTAATCAGCCTTTTATTTATTGATCCAGGGCAATTTGGTCTACAATAAAGGTGGCATATTGATTAATAAATAAAAGACTGACAAGTAAAGGGTGTTAGGGCAATTGGATAATCATTGATAATTTTCTGTTCCTAAGAAATCACTTCATTTTTTTAGACTGAGTCTCACTCTGTTGCCCAGGCTGGAGTGTGGTGACACAATTTAGGCTCACTGCAACCTCCACCTCCTGGATTTAAGCAATTCTCCTGCCTCAGCCTCTCGAGTAGCTGGGACTACAGGTGTGTGCCACCGCGTCCGGCTAATTTTTTGTATTTTTAGTAGAAATGTGGTTTTGCCATATTGGCCAGGTCGGTCTCGAACTCCCGACCTCAAGTGATCCAGTCGTCTCAGCCTCCCAAAGTGCTGGGATTACAGGCATGAGGCACTCCACCTGGCTTTTTTTTTTTTTTTTTTTGGATAGAGTATCACTCTCTTGCCTAGGCTGGAGTGCAGTGGTGCAATCTCAGCTCACTGTAACCTCTGCATCCTGGGCTCAAGTGATTCTCCTGCCTTAGCCTCCTCAGTAGCTAGCATTACAGGTGTGCCACCACACCACCCACACCTGCCTTTCTTTTTTTTTGGTAGTTTTAGTAGAGACAGGGTTTCACCATGTTGGCCTGGCTGGTCTCAAACTCCTGGCCTCACATAATCTGCCTGCCTTGACCTCTCAAAGTGCTGGGATTACAGACATGAGCCACTGTGTCCAGATCTAAGGCAACACTTCTGGCAACACTGTGTCCAGATCTAAGGCAACCTCTCAAAGTGCTGGGATTACAGACATGAGCCACTGTGTCCAGATCTAAGGCAAAATTATGGCTTTATCACTGGTGTATCTTGATAACTGATAATGACTTGCCTTTATTGTTTTCTCCTCCCCAAAATTCTTGGCTATTCTTGTACACTTTCTCTTCTAGATGAATTTAAGAATCAGTTTGTCAAGTTTCATTAAATATCCTATTGACTGGGGCCAGCCATGGTGTCTCACACCTGTAATTCCAGCACTTTGGGAGGCTGAGGCGGGCAGATCACTTGAGGCCAGGAGTTACTGATCAGCCTGGCCAATGCAGTGAAACCCCATCTCTACAATAAATTAAAAAATTAGCTAGGCATGCTGGTGTGTGCTTGTAGTCCCAGCTACTCGGCAGGCTGAGGTGGGAGAATCATCTGAGCCTGGGAAACAGAGGTTGCAGTGAGCTGAGACTGTGACACTGCACTCTAGCCTAGGTGACAGAGCAAGACTCCGTCTCAAAAAAACAGAAAACAAAAAACAAAAAAAAACCCCACAGAACTTTCCAGGCAACTTATTAAAGCATATGTTTTTTTTTTTTTTTGGGACGGAGTCTCGCTCTGTGTTGCCCAGGCTGGAGTCCAGTGGCGCTATCTGGGCTCACTGCAAGCTCCACCTCCTGGGTTCACACCATTCTCCTGCCTCAGCCTCCCGAGTAGCTGGGACTACAGGCACCTGCCACCACGCCTGGCTAATTTTTTGTATTTTTAGTAGAGACGGGGTTTCACCATGTTAGCCAGGATGGTCTCTATCTCCTGACCTCATGATCAGCCAGCCTCGGCCTCCCAAAGTGCTGGGATCACAGGCGGGAGCCACCGCGCCTGGCATTAAAGCATGTTTTGTTTTCCTACACATAATGAAATCATTACCAGATGATTTGACATGTGTACTTCAGTGGAGAGGGTTCTTATAGTATATTCAAAATAAAATATAACGACAAAAAAATTACTGCCTAATCCATTAAAATTGGCATAAGTCATCTATGATCATCAGTGATATGCAAATATAAACAAACATTATACCCAGAAGTGTAATTTATTATAGCTACATTTCATGTATAATGGTTTAGTGCATTTTTCCTGGAAATTATTCATTTTAATTTTTCTCTTAAGTCTGTGGAATTTTCCACTAAAAGTTGAGGCAGACCCAAGATGTAACTGACAATGTCTTTTCAGAGTTAGTTTCCTATAGTCTAACCACACTGGATGACTTGCTGTTTCAAAAATGTCATGCACTCTTTTGAGCTTGCATTTTTTCTACCTATGAAGCCCAGTTCATTCATTCTTCAGTCTAGTTCAAGTGTCACCTTCTCTACAAGGCCTTCCTTGATTTCCTCCCAGTCACTAGGTTGTGAATTATTTGAGTAGGGATTTTACCTTTTCTTTTTTCTTTTTTTTTTTTGTTTTGAGATGGCATCTCACTCTGTCACCTAGGCTGGATTACAGTGGTGTGATCTTGGCTCACTGCAGCCTCTGCCTCCTGGGTTCAAGCGATTCTCCTGCCTCGGTCTCCCAAGTAGCTGAGAATGTAGGTGCCCACCACCACGCTCAGCTAATTTTTGTACTTTTAGTAGAGATAAGGTTTCACCATGTTGGCCAGGCTGGTCTCAAACTCCTAACCTCAGGAGATCCGCCCGCCTCAGCCTCCCAAAGTGCTGGGATTACGGGTAACAGCCACTGCGTCCGGCCTTTACCTTTTCTTTATACACCAGCATCCAGCACAATCTTGGGCAGACAAAAAGTGCTGAATAAATAACTGGTGGATGAATAATGAGAATTGATTGCTTCTTCTTTAGCTTTCAAATCTTTTTTTGGGGCCGAGTGCAGTGGCTCACGCCTGTAATCCTAGCACTTTGGGAGGCTGAGGCAGGCGGATCACAAGGTCGGGGATTGAGACCATTCTAGCTAACACAGTGAAACCCTGTCTCTACTAAAAATACAAAAAATTAGCTGGCTGTGGTGACGGGCGCCTGTAGTCCCAGCTACTCGGGAGGCTGAGGCAGGAGAATGGTGTGAACCTGGGAGGCGGAGCTTGTAGTGAGCAGAAATGGTGCCACCGCACTCCACTGGGCGACAGAGCAAGACTGCGTCTCAAAAAAAAAAAATCTTTTTTTTTTTTTAAATTTTTTTTGAGGCATTTTTTTTGAGTCTCGCTCTGTCACCCAGGCTAGAGTGCAGTGGCGTGATCTTGGCTCACTGCAACCTCTGCCTCCCGGGTTCAAGCGATTCTCCTGCCTTGGCCTCCGGAGTAGCTGGGATTATAGGTGCCTGCCACCACGCTCAGCTAATTTTTGTACTGACTAAACTCCGGAGAACAGAATATGAGTCTGATTCCTCTCTTAGATTTCTCAGTACCTGATACAGAATAGAGCGTCGATAGTTTGGTCACGTATATAAAGGCTCAACATAGTCTAAGGAGCTAAAGCTATTCTGAATACATTTCAGTAAAAATGGGTGCATTTTAAAAGCCTTATCTGGGGCTACTTTGAGATTTATCCCCGAAAGATTAACTCGTTGGCGCCACCTAGTAGTCACTAAAAGTGGTGCACTTTTACGAAACTACAGAAACCGCTCTCAGACACTACAATCCGGAGTGGAGGGCACTCTTTCATGCTCACCTGTCTCTTAGTACTCTGATCTCTGCACAGTGCTGACCGGTCTCAAATTGCACAAACCTCCAGTTCTTGACGTTTCGAGTGTCATAAACTTGAGGAAAATGAAATTATTCATCAGGACTACAAAAGGCTCAAAGTTCAAACCACCTGGGGGTGGAGATGGCTGGAAAAAAGGAAACCATTAACAAGTAATTGTATTTGCTATATATAAACTTGCCCTAAGGCAGTCCAGATAACTTCCACTTGAGCAGCCTGAGACATCACGGGAGGGGGCAGTTTCTCCCTCGACTGGGTCTACCGCAGCCTTTCTGAGGTTTTTCCTAGCGAGGCCGAGAGGATCTTTGAGGAAAAACCCGCATCCGGATACGCCTTGAGGGAAGGCGTCAAACCCACAGGCATGGAAAAGGTAAGGACGGAGAGCACGCCTCTTCCTGGCTGAAAGTGAGGAGCGTTTGGCCCAGAACCAACCGGACTGGGTGAAGACTCAGCTCCGGCCACCGCAGCAGATCCCACCCCACGCGGGAACTTGAAGTCCGACACGTAGGTCCCGCGGCGGCCGGGCTCCACCAGGCCCCGGTTACCACCAGAGGTAGCCGTAAACCCACGGTCCCCAAAAATCTTTCCGGCTCTCCCTGACGAAAACTGGGACAACTTCCTTAGGCCCCCGGGATCCCCCCTGTGCCACCTGTCCGCCCGCCAGTCCCAGAGTTTAGGGCCAGGGGCCCCGCCTACCTGAGGGCCCTGGCCTGGAGGACCGCGCCGGAGGAGCACTTCCGCCGGACGCACGCACTTCCGGCCCCCTGGAACCAATGAGAGTGCGACCGAGATGTTCCACTTGCTGGCGTCCGGGCCGCGGGTGATCCACGGTAGCACTCGGGCCGGCGGACAGTGAGGGCGCGGTAAGCTCCCCGCAAGGAGCCCCTGAGAAGCTGGTCCCTTTTTGTCCTAGATATAGGGGCGTCCAAGATGGTGGAGTCTTTAGGGTCGAATATGATCCGAGGCAAGCTCATATTCAGGTTTGGGGCAAGAAGCATTAATTGACCCTTAATTTTTTCGGTGGAACGGAAAACTTCGGTAAAATAGCTTCTGACCTTCGGAACAGATGTATTCACCTTGGAGAGGAAAAATCTCTTTCTAGAAGAGTCTTGAGGTCTAGCACCTTTAGACTTAACGGGGGACGGCTGGGCGTCAGAGGAAGAAATTCCGAATGACTTCCCTTTCTTCCTAAGTCCTTCTTTCCAAATCTGTAAAAGACTACGTGTACTTTGCTGGAGGTGGTTTGACACTCATGCTCCTTGAGAAGGAGGTAATGAACTGTTGGGCAGCTCTTAAAAAGTTACCCTTGGCCGGGCGCGGTGTCTCACGCCTGTAATCCCAGCACTTTGGGAGGCCGAAGCAGGCGGATCACGAGGTCAGGACTTTGAGCCCAGTCTGGCCAACATAGTGAAATCCCATCTCTACTAAAAACACAAAAAATTAGCCGTACGCGGTAGCGGGAGCCTGTAATTCCAGCTACTGCGGAGGCTGAGGCAGGAGAATGGCTTGAACCCTGGAGGCGGAGGTTGCGGTTAACCGAGATCGCGCTGTTGCATTCCAGCAGGGGTGACAGTGCAAGACTCCATCTCAAAAAAACATAAATAAAAAAGGTTACCCTTGGCTGTCGCAGTGGCTCACACGTGTAAACCCAGCACTTTGAGAGGCCGAGGTGAGAGGATCATTTGAGCCCAGCCTGGGCAACATGGCGAGACCCCCATAACAAAAAATCAAAAATAAAGTTACCCAGAAACTAGTTGGAACCATTTAATGATGTTCTCAGTCCTGAAGTAGTCCACAGAACAAAGTCAGTGTTCATGGTAGAATTGTTTGATAGGGGCAGTCTTTTTTTTTTTTTTGAGATGGAGTTTGGCTCTGTCGCCCAGGCTGGAGTGCAGTGGCTGGATCTCGGCTCACTGCAAGCTCAGCCTCCCAGGTTTACACCATTCTCCTGCCTCAGCCTCCCGAGTAGCTGGGACTACAGGCGCCGCCACCTCGCCCGGCTAGTTTTTTGTGTTTTTTAGTAGAGACGGGGTTTCACCATGTTAGCCAGGATGGTCTCGATCTCCTGACCTCGTGATCCACCTGCCTCGGCCTCCCAAAGTACTGGGATTACAGGCTTGAGCCCCCGCGCCCGGCCTTTTTTTTTTTTTTTTTTAAGTAACAATGTCTTGTTAAAAAACAAGAGCTGTGTTGCCCAGGCTAGAGTGCAGGGGTGTGATCATAGCTCACTGCAGCCTTGAACTCCTGGGCTCAAGCGATCCTCTGGCCTTGGCCCCTCAAAGTGTTGTAGTGATTGGCACAAGCCACCGCCAGGCCTGGTCTTTGAAGTTAGTTATATTTCAGCTGCCCAGGATAAACTTCTAACTTTGATTGCCACAGAGCTTTACCAGACCTAATTGTTTCTCTTAGTTCTGTCTGATTGTGGAATCTCTTTATTACCATCAATTGTTTTACAGAGTTATAATTTGAATATGAAACTATTTTTCTAGCCCACTGGAGTCTTTGAAGTTAGTTATATTTCAGCTACCCAGGACAAACGTAACTTTGATTACCACAGAACTCTACCAGAACTAATTGTTTCTCTCAGTTCTGTCTGATTGTGGAATCTCTTTATGACCATCAATTGTTCTTCAGAGTTATAATTTGAATATGAAACCATTTTTCTAGCCCACCTTAGAGAAGACTGTTGACACACTAGTTGGAATGGTTGCAATAGCCTCTACCTTACAAGACACTTCAGATTCAAAGAATTTTCTTTGTAAAAGTTGGCCAGGCACGGTGGCTCATGCCTATAATCCCAGTACTTTGGGAGGCTGAGGCAGGCAGATCACTTAAGGTCAGGAATTCAAGACCAGCCCGGCCAACATGGTGAAACCCCATCTATCCTAAAAATACAAAAATTAACCAGGCATGGTGGTACATGCCTGTAATCCCAGCTACTCAGGAGGCTGAGGCATGAGAATCGCTTGAACTGAGGAGGTAAAGGTTGCAGTGAGCCAAGATCGCGACACTGCACTGCAGCCTGGGTGGCAGAGCAACTCTGTCTTAAAAAAACAAAACAAGGCCAGGTGCGGTGGCTCACGCCTGTAATCCCAGCACTTTGGGAGGCCAAGGCGGGCAGATCACGAGGTCAGGAGATCGAGACCATCCTGGCGAACACGATGAGACCCTGTCTCTACTGAAAATACAAAAAAATTGGCCGGGCGTGGTGGCAGGTGCCTGTAGTCCCAGCTTCTAGGGAGGCTGAGGCAGGAGGATGGCGTTAACCCAGGAGGCAGCGGAGCTTGCAGCGAGTGGAGATTGCACCACTGCACTCCAGCCTGGGTGATAGAGCGAGACTCCATCTCAAAAAACAAACAAACAAAAAAACCAAAATAAAAGAAAAAAATAAAAGTACCTGTTAATGCAATTATCTTTCAATTTTGATTCATAAATATGTGTGGAAGTGTCAATGTTTTTGGTAAAATGGAATTCACAGTGACAGACTCAGTGCTGTACAAAACAAAACCGGAAAATACACTTTAAAAAAATTATTTGAGCTGGGCGTGGTGGCTCACACCTGTAATCCCAAGACTTTGGGAAGCCGAGGTGGGCAGATCATGAGGTCAGGAGTTTGAGACCAGTCTGGCCAGCATGGTGAAACCCTGTCTCTACTAAAAATAGAAAAAATTAGCCGTGCATGGTGGCGTGTGCCTGTAGTCCCAGCTAGTCGGGAGGCTGAGGCAGGAGAATTGCTTGAACCCGGCAGGTGGAGGTTGCAGTGAGCTGAGATCATGCCATTGCACTTCAGCCTGGGCTACAGGGCGACACTACTTCTCAAAACAAACAAACAAAAAAAAAATCATTTGAAAAATTTGCTGAATAAACACTTGTTCACAGTGTACTTTCCCTGGTTATTTTTGTTTCTGTTTTTGATACAGTCTTGCCCTGTCACCTAGATTGGAGTACAGTAACACGATCACGGCTCACTGCAGCCTTAATCTCTCAGGCTGAAGTGATCCTTGCACCTCAGCCTCCCTAGTAGCTGGGACTTCAGGTGCATGCCACCACATCCAGCTAGTTTTTGTATTTTTTGTAGAGATGAGGTTTTGTCATGTTACCCGGGCTGGTTTCAAACTCCTGGGCTCTAGTAATCCTCCTACCTTGGCCCCCCAAAGTGCTGGAATTACAGGCATGAGCCACCCCACCCAGCCTTCCCCTAATTTTGATAATGATAATCCAATGTTCTGTTCTGGCATTTGTGTAGTTTTAGCGTGTGCAGTCTTCGAAGCAATGGAGGTATTTGCCTGTTCTTCTCTGTGGCTTAGTCATTCAGCAGTTCTATGCTACGGGTTTTTTTAATGTACCTTTAGGTTCTTGTTTAGAGTTAATGGATAATGAAACCATATTTCTAATGCATAAGAGAAATTCATTCTGAAACAAAAATAGAATATAAGCCTTCAGACAGAAGGCAGAGAAGAAACTGGAGAAAGAGAAATAATATGTTAGGCAGGAAACCATGGGAGACAGCACTGGGGAAAGTAACGTCCAGACTGGGAGTCACTGGGAAACCAGATAAGTGCTCCCTGGCAGCTGGAGGAGTTGAGGACACTTCAGCCTGGACTTGGGATGGGAGCCCAGAGCACGCAAGTTGCCCTGACTAGGTAGGAAAAATGCTGGGGTAGATGAAACTTGAGTGGCCAACAAGAAGTACCAGGAGCCAAAGACTCCCTGAACACTTGGGCCTCTTTTAAATGTCTGCCTTAAATAGCTCATACCATTGTAAGTCTTGCATAACGGGTAAGAACATGAACTTTTAGAATCAAAGATGTCACTCTAGGTGTGGTTGTATTTGGAGTAAGGAAGTAATTAAGGTTAAATGAGGTCATAAGTGTGGGGCCCTGATCCGATAGGACTAGTGTCCTTATCAGAAGAGTGAGTGGAGAGTTTGCCCCTTACCCTTACATACTGAAGAAAGATTATGTGAAGACATAGCAAGAAGGCAGCCATGTACAAGACAGGAACAGAGCTGCCACCACAGACCAAATTGGCCAAAACCTTGATCTTGGGCTTCTACCCTCCAGAACGGTGAGAAAGTCAATTTCTGTTGTTGAAGTCACCCAGTCTGTGGTATTTTAGTATGACAGCCTAAGCAGACAGATACACCATCTATATGCATATATATCCAAATCTCTAGGCTGTTGTGTGTCTGCACCTCTCCCCTGAACTTGGGTTTGTTCTCCATTTGCCTACTTCGTGTTACCACTTGGATATCTAATAGATGTCTCAAACTTCACTTCTCTGTAAACTGAACTCCTGATAGTCCCCTCAAGCCTACTCCATGGACATCTTTCTCTTCTCTTTTTTTGGAGACAGGGTCTTGCTGTGTCACCCAGGCCGGAGTGCAATGGCGTGATCAGGTGATCCTCCCACCTCAGCCTCCCAAGTAGGATGTGAGGGCAATCTGGCTGTGACGTCTCTCACCCCGTTGATCACCGGGGTTGATCCGGCTGATCTGGCTGGCTAGGCCGGTGTCTCCTTCCTCCCTCACTGCTCCATGTATGTTCCTCCAGAAGCTGCACACTCAGTGGAAGAGAACGACCATCCCCAATAGAGGAGGACTGGTCTTCGGTCAAGGGTATGTAAGTAGTTGTGTTCCCCTGCTAGAACCTCCAAACAAGCTCTCAAGATCCCAAGTAGCTAGGATTGCAGGCACACGCCATCATGCTTCGCTGTGATTCTCTTCTCAGATAAAGGTAGTGCTGTTCTTTTAGCTGCTTAGGCCAAAAACTTCTAGAGTCATCCTTGACTCTTCTTCCTTTCACTGCCCACATCCCATCCATTGCAAATCACATTGGCTGTATGTTCCAGACACACCCAGAATCGAATGACGTCTTACCACTTTGCTGCCACTATCAGGGCCGGGTCAGCATCACCTGTCACCTGGATTATTGTAGGAGCCTCCCATCTTGTGTCTTCACTTGCACCCTTGCCTCTCCCTACATTCTGTTTTCAGCTTCAACTGCCAGCGAGATCCTTAAAAATATGTCAGATCATGTCACTCCTCTGCTCAAAGCCCTGCAGTGTCTTCCTCTTCCTCTCTGTATCTGCTGTTCCTCCTCCTTTAGTTATTCTGTTCCAGCCATGCTGGGCTTCATCTCTTCCTGCAGCATGACAGGCACGCATCTGCCTTGAGACTCTTGCACTATTACCTTTGCTTAGAACATTCTCGCTGGGTGCAGTGGCTCACGCCTGGATTCCCAGTACTTTGGGAGGCCGAGGTGGGCAGATCACTTGGGGTTTGGAGTTTGAGACCATCCTGGCCAACATGGTGAAACCCTGTCTGTACTAAAAATACAAAAATTAGCTGGATATGGTGGCGCGTGCCTGTGATTCCATCTACTCAGGAGGCTGAGAGGGGAGAATTGCTTGAACCCAGGAGGTGGAGGTTGCAGTGAGCTGAGGTGGCGCCACTGCACTCCAGCCTGGGTGACAGAGTGAGACACTGTCTAAAAAATATGTCAGATCGGGGCCAGGTGTGGTGGCTCACACCTGTAATCCCAGCACTTTGGGAGACCGAGGTGGGCAGATCATGAGGTCAGGAGATCGAGACCATCCTGGCTAACACAGTGAAACCCCATCTCTACTAAAACTACAAAAAATTAGCTGGCCATGATGGTGGGCGCCTGTAGTCCCAGCTACTTTGGGAGGCTGAGGCAGGAGAATGGCGTGAACCCGAGAGGCAGAGTTTGCAGTGAGCCGAGATCGCGCCACTGCACTCCAGCCTGGGTGACAGAGTGAGACTCTGTCTCAAAAAAAATAAAGAAAAAAAGTCAGATCATGTCCCTCCTCTGCTCAGAGCCCTGTAGTGGTTGATGAGGTCTAGGGAATATGTTGTTTCTAAATAATTTCTGTTAATCATGGTAATATAATTACTTCAAAGGAATTTCATTCTTATTGTGTGATTGCTCGCGTTTCTAATTCCTATCTTAGTACTGTGTCTGGGATGTGGAAGGTGCTCAGAAAATGTTGGTGGTTTCAAAGGATGGTGGGTATATATTAGGTAACCTCCTGTCCAGAAGAAAACAGATGAACAGTCATTTCCATTTGTTCAGGTGCTACGCCTGTCAGAGATGCTTTGGGAGATTTTATACTGAATATGTTCTTCTTGCCCATTGGTTCTGTTCTTTTTCTCAAGAAATGGAGTTGTCGGCCAGGTGAGCTGGCTCATGCCCGTAATCCCAACACTTTGGGAGGTCAAGGTGGGCGGACTGCTTGAGCCCAGGAGTTCAAGACCAGTGTGGGCAATATAGTGAAACCTTATCTCTACAAAAAAATACAAGAGTAGCCAGGTCTGGTGGAGCATACCTGTAGTCCTAGCTACTTGGGGTGGGGGCTGAGGTGGGAGGATCGCTTGAGTCCGGGAGGTGGAAGTTGCAGTGATTATGCCATTGCGTTCCAGCCTGGGTGATAGAGCGAGACCCTGTCTCAAAATAAAGTTGTATCCAGTCCTTAATGACATTGAGACCATTTGGGAGTAACTAGTCTCTACCAAAAATACTTCAGAATTTTTTTTTTTTTTTTTTTGAGACAGAGTTTTACTCTCGTTGCCCAGGCTGAAGTGCAATGCTCACTGCAACCTTCGCCTCCTGGGTTCATGTGATTCTCCTGCCTCAGCCTCCCAAGTAGCTGGGATTACAGGCACCCGTCACAAGCGTAGCTAATTTTTTTTAATTTTTAGTAGAGACAGGGTTTCACCATGTTGGCAACGCTGGTCTCGAACTCCTGAGCTCAGGTGATTCACCTGCCTGACCTCCCAAAAACCTGGGATTATAGGCGTCAACCACTGTGCCTGGCCCAGAATTGTTAAATATACACAGAAGTAAAAAGACAAAACACGGCTGACCATGGTGGCTCAGGCCTGTAATCCCAGCACTTTGGGAGGCTGAGGCAGGTGGATCACCTGACATCAGGTGTTTGAGACCAGCCTGCAGTGAACTGAGATCACACCACTGCACTCCAGCCTGGGCAACAGACCAGGGCTCTGTCTCAAAAAAGAAAAAAAAAAAGACAAAACACAATGGAGGTCACTTTAGCTATTTTCTCTGGAAAACAGCTGTCATGATGCAGGTTGTTATAATCTATAAGGGGGAGGTTGTGATTGTTTTTACTCTAAAATCTTCCACGGCCTTTTTTTTTTTTTTTTTTTTTTTTTTGAGATGGACTCTCACTCTGTCACCCAGGCTGGAGTGCAGTGGCGTGATCTTTGCTCACTGCAACCTCCACCTCCTGGGTTCAAGCGATTCTCCTGTCTCAGCCTCCCGAGTAGCTGGGATTATAGGTACACACCAAGACGCCCAGCTAATTTCTTTTTTTGTGTGTATATATATATGTATGTGTGTGTGTATATATATGTGTGTGTGTATATATGTGTATATATGTATGTGTGTGTGTGTGTGTGTGTGTGTGTGTGTGTGTGTGTGTATATTTTTTTTTAAGTGGAGACGGGGTTTCACCATGTTGGCAAGGCTAGTCTCAAACTCCTGACCTCGGCTGGGCGCGGTGGCTCAAGCCTGTAATCCCAGCACTTTGGGAGGCCAAGACAGGCGGATCACAAGGTCAGGAGATTGAGACCATCCTGGCTAACACGGTGAAACCCCTTCTCTACTAAAAAAATACAAAAAACTAGCTGGGCGTGGTGGCGGGCGCCTGTAGTCCCAGCTACTTAGGAGGCTGAGGCAGGAGAATGGCATAAACCCGGGAGCCGGAGCTTGCAGTGAGCTGAGATCTGGCCACTGCACTCCAGCCTGGGCGACAGAGCGAGACTCCATCAAAAAAAAAAAAAAAAAAAAAAAAAAACTCCTGACCTCAGGTGATTGCCCACCTTGGCCTCCCAAAGTACTGAGATTACAGGCATGAGCTACCACATCCCGCCCCACTGCATTCTTTTTTTTTTTTTTTGAGACGGAGTCTCGCTCTGTCGCCCAGGCTGGAGTGCAGTGGCCGGATCTCAGCTCACTGCAAGCTCCGCCTCCCGGGATTATGCCATTCTCCTGCCTCAGCCTCCCGAGTAGCTGGGACTACAGGTGCCCGCCACCTCGCCCGGCTAGTTTTTTGTATTTTTTAGTAGAGACGGGGTTTCACCGTGTTAGCCAGCATGGTCTCGATCTCCTGACCTCGTGATCCACCCGTCTCAGCCTCCCAAAGTGCTGGGATTACAGGCTTGAGCCACCACGCCCGGCCTGCATTTTTAAAGAAGCAGTAAATTGACCTTGTTCAAATACACAATCTGAATTACTAGGGTCTTTTGAAACTAAAACTTTGTTTGTTACTAAGACTTCTATTTTCCTTCCTCTTTTTCAGCACTTATTTCTATAGCAATCTTCCAGCTGATGCCACTTAACTTCATTGAACAAAACATGAGGTTTAGAAAGTCAAAATAATCATTGTGAAAGTATTTGATAGGAGATCTTTATTTGGAATGAATTGGGTTATGATGTCAGTCCTGTGATTTCAGTGGAACTGTTTCTTTTTATCCATTGTCAGTGAGTGCTCCTTAATACTTAAATGCAGCTTTCTTTTTTTTTCTTTTGAGACAGAGTCTCGCTCTGTCATCCAGTCTGGAGAGTGGTGACGCGATCTCAGCTCACTTCAACTGCCGCCTCCCGGGTTCAAGTGATTCTCCTGCCTCAGCCTCCCAAGTAGCTGGGATTACAGGTGCCTGCAACCACACCCGGCTAATTTTTGTATTTTTAGTAGAGACAGGGTTTCGACATATTGATCAGGCTGATCTCGAACTCTGGACCTCGAGTGATCCGCCCGCCTTGGCCTCCCAAAGTGCTGAGATTATAGGCATGAGCCACTGTGCCTGGCATAACGCAGTTTTCTACTAAATGCCTGATTTTGACATGTTTCCTATTATTGGCTCTGCTGTTCAGCTGAAATAGCAGGATAGGAAATGGTCGTGCGATTGCTGATAGGTGCCAGGGCTGCTGGGACAGGCCCAGCCTGCTAGAGACGTGTATCTCAGATAGGAAACACAGGACCCAGATGGTTCAAACTGTTGGGTTAGCATCTGGCCTTCGACAGGTCACCCTGGCCCACCAGATCAGCCCCAGGCATGAGAAAAGCACTACAGGATGAAGAATAGATAGGATCTAATTAAATGCAGTGGGAGTAACATGAGAAGGATGGCTTTTCATATCCCATCCTAACCGTCCTCTCCCCTTGTTTGCTTTGCTTTACTTTTCATGCTTTTTAGCTTCTTGGATCTCTTGCTTTAAGAGGAACTAGGGCAGCTGGGCACAGTGGCTCACGCATATAATCCCAGCACTTTGGGAGGCCGAGACGGGTGGATCACTTGAGGTCAGGAGTTAGTTCAAGACTAGCCTGGCCAATATGGTGAAACCCCATCTCTACTGAAAATACCAAAATTATCCAGGCGTAGCGGCACACATCTTTAATTCCAGCTACTGGGGAGTCTAAGGCAAAAGAATCGCTTTAATCCAGGAGAAGGAGGTTGCCGTGAGCCAGAATCACGCCACTGCACTGCAGCCTAAGCAACAGAGTGAGACTTCGTTTCAAAAAAAAAAAAAAAGGAACTAAAGCTTAATATTCCCCTTGCAACATCACAGTCAC